TATGGAGCATTATCTGGCACTTAAACATTGTTACATGTACTTAAAAACTATGAACAATGTCTGGCTCCAACTCAGCAGTACAAATCAATCAATATTGAACAGCTATACAGATGCAGACAGTATGATGCAAGAAGGGCATTGTACAATATCAGGATATACATTTTACTTGAGTGATTCATTAGTTTCATGGTCAAGTAAAAGACAAACACTAGTGGCAAATTCAATGTATGAAGCTGAATTAATAGCTCTTGTAAGAGGAACACAGGAAGCAATTACACTTACTCATTTAGCTGAAGAGATTCTGCAGGTCTCTGATGCACCAATTAATATCTATTGTGATAACAATGCTGTTATACAAATGGTTACATTGGACAAACTCAAATATTCGGAACGAACAAAGCATTTAGATCATAAGAAAGATTTTATTAAATGCTACATTGAGTTAGAGTACATAAATGCAAAATACATACAGACAAACAATCAACAAGCAGATATATTAACTAAAGCATTACATGTACTACAAGTCAAACATCTTACCAGTTTACTCAGACTAGTAAGAGTTTGAAGGGGAGTATTATGAGATGATTAGTTCATCAACAGACAAACCACAAGACAATGACTTCATAATGTCTCAGTTAGAATACATACAATATAAGGACAAGAGACACTGAGTGGTCAATTATCACCTCACCCCTTGTCTATGCATGCCCCCCTTAAGTTCTCCCTCTCAACATTATCCTTGTCTCTGTATGTTTTCATTAATGAGTCAAAGCCTTCCTAGGCCAATTACTATGTGTTCCTCTTTAATAGCTTACTTTAACTTGTATCTGTCTTAGAGATACTATTTCCACCAACTCTGTCAAAAGTCCTTGTCTCTGTATGTTTTCATTAACAAGTTAATGCCTTCCTAGGCTGGTTACTATGTGTTTCCCCTTACTATACTTTCTCTTGCCTCTTTATTAATCCTTCCCTACCTTTTAACAAGTTGAAGCCTTCTTAAACTTGTGACTGTGTATTCCTTATTGTCTGTCCTTACCCTTTTGTATTTCACCTCCCCCCCTTTACTATATCCTTTCCTTTGTCTCTCTATTAATTACTTCCCTACCCTTCCTCCCTTTTTATTTCTTTAGAGTAGGGAAGAGTGTAATCTCTAAGGTTACACACATGACTTTAGTTAAGTATATAAAGGGCTATTTGTAGACACTTAGAGATTATCTTTATACTTACTCCTGTACTTAGGTCAACCTCTCTAATCCTAGGTCTTTACCTGTTCTGTGTTCTTGAGTAAGGCTCTAGCCTTTACACACTAAACCTTAGATCCTGTAACAATACAACCTAGCTAGCTACACAGTCCTTTAGTGTAAAGTGTAAGTAACTAGTTTACTTTATAATAGCTTGTACAATAGTTGCTCATCCTTCTCCTCCTAACTTCTTGTCTCTATTTCATACCTCCTACTCATTACTCTGCCTCTTATGTTACCTCTCCTTTATTGTCCTCCTTTTTATTACACTTGCCTTCTTTTTGCATTTGCATTTACACATCTGCATTTTTAACCAATACTAAACAACTTTACTAATAATTTTGTATACTTCTCCTTACTCTATAGTGTAAGTAATACTTAACAAGTACACACTTACAACAATGTTTATGTACAACTACTCCTAAGGTGTAATCCTTTCTCTAATCTAATGTGTACATTCTTCCCCACCTGTTCTATACTTAGTATTACCCTTAATAGGTCTACACTGTGTGTGTTTACTTTCCCTAGTACTATATATAACACTATTTCTAACAGAAGTAGTAACCCTCTACTCCCCTCTCAGCTAAGTCTGTCTGCCTTCTACTTTACCTTCACCTTTCAAGCCAGAATATTCTAGAGATACACTTTACAATTAATGACTCAGTTTACTACACCTTCTATTAGG